CTGCTTAATAGATTACTATCCAGCAGTCATGCTTCTTGTAAAAAAGAAGGGAAAGAAATACACTGAATACTAGCTGTCACAAGCCTTAACCAGTCTAATGAACTGAATTTTTGCTGCTGACTTAACTTTAAGGACAGAAAACCATTCTTCAGAAAACTCGAAACTGCTAAAAGGAGTTGCATAGAAGTTACATATCTTTTTAGATTTGTTCTATGGGAGTTGTGATTTCTGTATAAGTACTTGATTTAAAAGCATTTGAACTCTCATTCACTTCACACAGATCTTAGAACTGCTGCTTGCCTTCTGTTCTGTGATAGAGCTGCGTCATACCCTGCAGCAGGCAATACTGGAACCATCTGGCTTGCCGGTCTCTGGAAATACCAGATTTGTGACTTGCTCAAAGACTTTTGAACCATCTGTTGCATTGGTGCACTTGTCAAACCAGGCCCTGGAAGGCTCTGAAGACTGTGCAGTTCTAGCATTACAACTATTCAAAGAGATTTTTGAGGTACCAAGACTGATAATTGAGTTTAAAGAGCTTCTTAGCAGCTGTATTTTTAATTGATTTTTAAACTACTATTAACATTTTCCTTGGAAAAGAGCCTGTAAAATATACCTGAAATAAAATTCTTCCTGTTCTAGATTTCCATACTTTGTAAACCAACTTTTCTTTTCAAGACATGCTGGATTTTAGAAACATGTCTGCATTGAAAGTTAAGTGGAAGGTACAGCAGTTCATGAAGTCATGAGGTAGATACAAAGCTACCAAAGAATTGCTTTCTAGGACTTGTAGAAGCGACGAAGAGTTTCTGCTCTTTCTGTGCTATTTGTTTAACTTCCTCGTCCAGTATAGTCCTGATCAACAGTCTTAAACCTGAAATAGCGAGAGGCTGGGAAAGCTAGAAGACAGGCTGGTGGAGGAAGTGGGTAACATAGGCTTGGATTCCTTGTTCTGTAATTTTAAACACATTTTATTTTATGTCAATACTTATTACAGGATGCTATTAATACTGGGAACAGTGCCTCAGCTGAACAATTAGTGGATCTTTTGCTGCCTGTTCTTCTTGATCATCTTCAGATAACAGAAGAAATTGTGGATGAGCTATTATTGAAGAAAAAGTGTGAAAGAATGGTCAAGGCTATTAATGTCCTGACAAATATCCTTTTAGTATGCTTTGTGGCAGTTAATTTATTGTTTCTCCACCATGATCTGTTAGAAATGTCCATCATGGGTCACTTTAACAGCTTTTAATGACAATAATTGCCCTAAATTTACTTGTGACCATAAGTAGATTTCTGTCAGTGAAACAAGGAAAAATAATGTGGAATGATACAGTTTTATGCTCCTTTTGGAGTGCTTAGTGTCCACAGTGTCATGCAGTAAGGAGGACATGACTGCAGGATGCAGTCCTGCAGCTAAGCAGAGTTGTGTGCAAGTCTCTCTGCTAATTCACTCCTAGAGGACTAGTTCTTGTATTAGGGAACTGATTGTTTACTGCTTCTTGTTCATCTTTCTTTATGCCACTCGCTTTCTTGTGGGTTCTCTTAGCTGTCTTTTTCCAAGTAAGTGTGTGTGTTAGCTGAAAAGTGAAGCTCAATTGGCTTAAGTTGAGCATGACTTAAGTGGTTTATGTAGTTGAGTTTTAAAAGCATTTTTGGAGGCTCTTGTGCTTCAATACTGTAACTTTTGTGACCTTTATTATTAGAAAATGTTGCCCTTTTGTGCTGATACTAAAGCATAGGTATTTTCGGTTTATTCTTAACTCAATCTACTGCTCTGTAGAGATGACATACTGAAAATACATGCCTCAAAGGTACTGACTGCTAGCCAGTGTATGTCTCTAATAGAACATCAATTTACCTACAGTGTGATTGACACTGGTTTTCGGACAAAAGCAGTGGACACTAAAATGTGGTGAGCACACAAATTTATCTAAAATCTAATTTAGCAAGACTAAATGACAGTTGTGATATTGTTCCAGTTTAAAGTCTATTGTAGAGAAAATACCATTTAAATTCATGTACATCAATACTATTTTAAAATAAAACTTAGTAATTTTGTGGCAATAGAAAGTAATGTTGCTGGTCAGGTCAATAATAAGACCTAGTATAAGCATTCAGATACTGGTTTTGACGTAGGCTGGAGATCCATTTATGTGGTATAATGACCTTAAACCTCATGCAGTAGTTCAAGCTTATCCAAGTTGAAGCTTACTAGAACTGCTCATGACACCTAATTTTTCTTTTTGTTTTTATGAAACTAGAGTTCAGAAATATCATATATATGGGGAGGGAATTATTGCACTGAAAATGGAATATATATTTCTTCAGCTTAGCATCATTAACCTGAATCTTGATGTAACTGAGTTATGTGGCCAAAAAACAGTGAAGTGTAACTTGATCTATGATTAAACACTCCTGATTTTCAACTTGAAAGTGGTTTTTTTGGTCTTCACTGTTGCCATCCTTGACATGCTGGAGAAGCTCAACAGCATGTCCAAGGAACACTGATCTCAGTGTTGGCATTGTTGCCTTGCTAGACTTATTTAATTTCTTTGTGAAAGTATTTTTATTTCATTTTAAATTGACTGAATTTATATCAGTGCTGATTTGACAAATCTTGCTCTGCCTTTTTTTCTTCCTGCTTTACTTTTCTCTTTGTATATTTAAAAGCAAACTTGCTGCTGATATTATTTTGAAAACACTTGATCTTATGAGCAGACTGAAGCAGGATGTGTCTGGTATGGAGGTCAGCTTCTACAAAATTTTACAGGTATGATTTTAAAATGTATTATAAGGCCTATCTGTGAAGGAAAGTGTTAACTGCACTCCAATAGTTTTAGTTCTGAATATTTTGCATGCTTATCTCTGAAGTGGTAAAACTTCTAGGAAGATACAGTCCCCTGGGCACAATTCTTAAAGGTTGTTTCATTGTTACTTCTTCTATGATAGGTGCAGTTTGATTTTACTCCATTTATTTCAGTAATGCATGTGAAATCATACTTCAGCTGCCTGGTAACAATTATCCTTTTAAGACTGCATTAGGACTGCAGTTTAAAGATAGCAAACTAGAAAAAAGTTATCACAACCATTTCATTATTTGTGGAGTTGGTTACCGTGAAATATATACATCTAATTTGTGACTTTGCATAGTCAAAACAGCTTCTGGTAACTGGGTCAGATGGTACCTTAACACTTTACTTTGTAGGCAGAAAAGTAATGCAGATCATTCACGCTGTTTTGGAGGGTCATCTTTTAAGGATGGGAATTTTGTCATTTAATGAGTAGCAATGAGAGTTTTGCAGTCATCAGGAAAAGCTTATAAAACTTAAGCTTGTGACTGTTGATGGTGGAAATCAAGCACTTGAAGTCTCTTTTCCTTTTTTGTTAGCTTTATTGGGAAAACATGTTTTGAAATACTCTGAAGTGTAAACTATTTTTTAAATCACTTTTATTCCATTGACTTAACGCTCAGAAACTTAGAAAAGCAAACTTTAAGAAGGTAGCTTAAATTTTGAATAAAACATTTCTGTGTTCATAGGCTTTGATACCGTGAAATCTGGGTGGTGTGTTTTTTTGTTGTTTACTGTTATGTTTTGACCAAAGTAGTTTCTTTTTTAGGATCAACACTTGATTGCACCTTTGACGTTTGCATTAACATCAGATCATAGAGATCAAGTCCAAGTGGGACTTCGAATACTGTTTGAGGCTGCACCCTTACCAGATTTTCCTGCCATAATGTAAGTTTACTTCTGTGGTAGTCTGGTAGGATTTGACATTTTTATGGGCTTAGTGATATTCATGTTTCTTGGCATATTACTTTCAGTTCATCAGAGATGGAAAACTTAGAAAAATTGTACTCTATGTGGTATTGTAAAATAGCATCACAGACAAGGTAAAAACTAAGCTTTATCGGTAACACTCTACATTTTCACGATTGAGGCTTATTTTTATGCCTTACTAAATACTTTCTCAATATTCTAACGTAAAAACAGTAGCCTAGTTAAGTTGAATAATGACATGTGAAATTACCTCTTTCTCAAGCTAATGAAGCAGATCATCTGATGTCTTCTGCTCAAGAAGAGCTAAACACCATGCCCTTTCTGTCGAGATACTGCTTTTGTTTCTAAAGACTAGCCATGACAGGCTTTGTTTGGTTTTGGTGGTTTTTGTTCTGTTTTCTCTGTCTCTGGACAATTTGGGCATGTGTCTGATGCTGCATCTAAATGTTGTGTGATAATACAGACTTGACTGCCTCTAGCAGTCTGTTTTCAATGAAAGAGAAGTTAATTATATTATGAAATTATTCTCATCTTCAGTTCTTGCAACAATATTTGTAGCAGACGGTTTCATTAACAGCCTTTATGTTTATACAGGCTTGGTGAAAGCATTGCGGCAAATAATGCTTACAGACAACAAGAAATGGAGCATACATCAAAAAGAATCCAAATGCAGTTACCTGTGACTGGCATTCCTTCGGTGACATGTTCTTCATCCTGTCCCTCAAGTGATGAGTCTACAACTTCACATATCCAGGAATTAATAAAAAAACTTGAATCTGCACTAGAGGTTAGTAGAATTTGTACACCGCTATTAAATATTTGACACTTTTACTGAACGGGATGGAAATTAAAATCCAAGTGTCAGATTATAGGATATGGATCAATTGAGTTCAGTATAGATGCCTGCCTATTTAGAATGTGCTCCTTTTACTAAGCTCCTTAGCATAGCTGAATGATGATTCTTAGTGCTATATCAGAAGCTGGGCCACCTTACTAAGATTCCTTTCTCTGGTGGTGTTGCCCACACTCTTCTAGCTGTCAGATGTGGAGGCAGGTGTCAGATATAGTCACAACTGCCTAGACCTGCTGAGACACATAAAAGGGGCCTCCCACCCACCCCTTCCTAGGAAATAAGGTGTGATAGAACAGAGATGGTGTGCTCCTTTGAGTATGGTGCATCTTTGGTATGCCTAAACAGGCATATGAACATTTTCCTTTTCTTGCCTGTAGCTAACTCCTTAGCACTTGCAGTTCAATTTCTGTGCCTTCTTGAAAAGGCACTATTACTACTTCAGAGAAAAGTTTTTGCTTCCCTTTGCAGCAGCATGCATTGTGAATGAGACTCTCAAACAGACACCACATACGGTGTGCTTTTTTGCCAGCCATACTGTCAGGTACTGAATATATTTCCTCTTTCTATTTTCTGTTCAAAGCAAGTTAGTTGCTTTGTAGCCGCTTTAGACTGAATGATGGATTTTTGCTTCTATATTCTTCTGGCTTAAAAGAACAGTATGCAAATTGGGAATATGCACAGAAGTGCCTGATAATGGCTTGATATCTGTAAGAGTGCCACTGCCTCCAGCCTTAGCTTTGCAACCTTCCTCTCTTTGTAACTGATAAGAACAAAACTCAATGAGTAGTCAACTACTAAGAACATAACTAAGAACTTAACAAGTAGTTACAGCCAACTACTAGAATAATAGTGAAAAAGGTTAAGTGAGTCTTCATTGGCTTACTTTGTACTCTGCCACTGGATGCTCTCACTGATCATCCTTTTCAAGATTGCAGTGAGAGTCTGCGGGTGCACTGCTGTGTATATGTTAATGTAAGTCAAAGCAGCCACAGGTGCCTAACAGCACTAGTGTGGCAGCTTCCAGTAATATGACAGATTGTAAAGCTGCTTTGATTTTTGAGGAGAGAAAGTTGTTGATGAACTAAGTGGATCTTTTTTTAGACCTTCCAATTAGTAGAACTTTCCTTTAAAAATCAATATACCCATTAACTTAAAATACCCAGTACTTCATCTCTCTGTGTTCCATATGTTGTGTGAAGCTCAAATGTGTGTAAAAACATAATTGAGAAAACACTTCTAATAGTATTACTGTACAGAGAGCGAAGGGAACTTACAGAAGCTTTTCTTATAGTAGTAATATCTAAAAGGACATAGAGATGCCAAATTTGCAGGCAGGAAAAAAAACTGGACCTATGTGGAGGCTACTGTTATTATGCAAAAACTTTCTTGCATAATGGTTCAAAATTATGCAGAGATGGTAGCTTTTCAGTAGGTGTTCATTGTATGAACGAGCTGGTGGCAGAGCTTGCACTTGGCCATGCCTCAGCATATATGAACAGATGCTCAAAACTGGTGTTATAGTAGCACTGCCTGAGAAAAAGGTATCCTGAAATCTCCAAGTAGCATTGTCACTTGACTTGGGCATATCTTTTAATCATTGAATGCATTGGGTTGGAAAGTACCTTTAAAGGTCATCTAGTCCAACCCCCCTGCAGTGAGCAGGGAAAATGTTACTGGATCAGGTTGCTCAGAGCCCCATCCAACCTGACCCTGAATGTTTCCAGGGATGGGGCATCCACCACCTCTGGGAAACCCGTTCCGGTGTTTCACCACCCTCAAAAAATTTCTTCCTTATCTAATCTGTGTCTACCCTCTTTTAGTTTAAAACCATTTCCCCTTGTCCTATCACAACAGGCTTTACTAAAATGTCTGTCCCCATTTTTCTTATGAGCCCCCTTTAAGTACTGAAAGGCCACAATAAGGTCTCCCCAGAGCCTTCTCTTCTCCAGGCTGAACAACATCAACTCTGTCAGCCTTTGCTCATAGGAGACATGTTCCAGTCCCTTGATTATTTTCATGGCCCTCCTCTGGACCTGCTCCAACAGGTTCATGTCCTTCTTATACTGGGGGTCCTAGAACTGGACACAGTATTCTGGCTGAGGTCCCACCAGAGCAGAGTAGAGGGGCAGAATCACCTCCCTCATTCTGCTGGCCACACTTTTGATGCAACCTAGGATGCAGTTGGCCTTGTGGGCTGCGAGTGCACTTTGCTGGCTCATATCCAGCTCTTCATACACCAGTGTCCCCAAGTCCTTCTGACCAGGGCTGTTCTCAATCCCTTCACCCCCCAGCCTGTATAGATACCAGGGGTTGCCCTGACCTAAGTGCATGACCTTTCGCTTGTCCTTGTTAAACCTCATGGGGTTCTCTTGGTGACATCCCATTGCTCAGACCTGTCAACTGCACTGCTCAGCTTGGTGTCATCTGCAAATAAACACTTGGGACTTGTACCATATGTGGTAAATAAATTTCCTTTAGTAAGTCAATAAGTTAACATAGTAAGTTCTGTTCTGGATAGTATCCTTTTGGGAACTTCACTGGGCCTCTTCTGATAATCTATATGTTTAGAAGGCCACGAAGCACAAACAAGAATTTTTAGCCATATGCATTTCATGCTGTTAATATTAGGACAAATAACTTTAGGTGTCTGAGGAGGGAATTGCTAATTCTCCAGCAAAGATTAGACCAAGGGGCACCACTTTTAGAGGAGTGATGTTATCTTTTCATTGTGTTGGACTGATAGTCTTACGAAGATTAATTCTATTCAGCCTAAATAGTCCAATTATTCACAAACTTTATGCAAGAGTCACACAGATGCCTTTGGGCAGACAGTCTCAGATACAAAACTAAGAATTTGAAAGAGCTAGTGTACAGATGGAGTTCACAAAACTACTGAGCTCTTTAGGCACACGTTACCTGTTTAAGTAAATGCAAACTTACAGTAGCAGTAACTGGAAACTATTTCCACAGATGAAGCCAATCACTGGTTTGAGGATATCTGACATAATGGAGGTCTATGAGCAAAAGCTGTTGGCATTAGCAGTGAGTACAAACTAATATATATGGCTACATTACTGTCTGTACATTCAGAAAATGTAGATGAAAACTGTGTTTCCTATGTACAGTCTAAAGAAACTAGGCTGCAAGACCTTTTGGAAGCAAAGGCACTAGCTCTGGCTCAGGCTGATAAGCTGATGGCTCAGTACCAATTTCAAAGAACCCAGGCTGAGGCTGAGGTAAGTAGCAGGAGCTTCTTTCTGGTACACTGAGGTAGGGCTGAGTAATTGCTGGCTGGTTAGCTTTAACTGTGATTGCATGCACAGAAACGCCTTAGTTGTAAGCTGTGCTTGCAAGCTGGAGTGGTCTTGATTTTCATCAGGGACATCCTGTATTTCTCTGCATTGTTCTTTGGAACAGTTATCTTTAATGTTCTTTCCTTTCTAGCAAGTCCACAAAACTAACCTAATTGTACTGATTACCATTTGTTAACCATTCATGTTAATCTAATGGTAGTAGTCTTAAAAATGAATAAAGCCACTTTCTAGAGTTCTGTGTAAAATTTGCTGATATATCATAGAATGGTTTGGGTTGAAAGGGACCTTAAGGGTCATCCAGTCCAACCCCCTGCCATGGGCAGGGACACCTCTCACCAGACCAGGTTGCTCAAAGCCCTGTCTATGAAGAATTGTTTCTTCTTTGTGTCTTTTTTAATCACTTGTCAAAAATGAACTTTCAAATAAAGCTTGCTACTCTGGGACATGTATTTGAGCTGTGCATTGAAAACTCAGATTAACTTCTGTTCTTTAAAGCTTATAAATAAAGATTGGGCTGCAGATTACTAAATAAATAGCTAAAATATATATTTTACTTTTTTCCTTCCCTCCCTTCTCATGCTGTCTATAAAGGGAGCTAAAAGAATTTAGAGTGAACAAACTAATTTGTAGTTAATACTAGGTGAGAGAAATCTATTTTGTGAAGTGGCTGATTGCATTTTAGTGTTCGATCTATGGTCTCAAATATGCCTATTACAAAGTGTCTTGTGAAACAGAATTGCTTGTAATTGTGGGTTTTTTTTGGTGGGGGCTGTCTTTCCTCTCAAAGGCAAGAACTCTCGCTGCAATGTTAAAGGATGCAGAACGAAAAAATGAAGAACTTAATGATTTGCTGAAAGCTCAACAGGTAGAATCTGAAAGAGCAGAGACTGATATTGAACAGCTCTTTAAGCACAACAGGAAATTACAAAATGTTGCTGAAGAACATGAAATACTGAAAAAATCATATGTTGATCTTCTTCAGAGGTAAGACATGTAAGGTCTCTAAATGAGTACTTTGTATTTAAAGAGTGATGAAGCCCTTTACTGGGCTATAGCACATTAGAAGGGCAACATTACATGTTACTTCATGTTTCCATGTGAAAATTATTTTTTTTCTTCTATATGCTTGTTCATGAGGTTAACTTAAGTTATTTAAGAAGTTAATATGTTAAATAGAGTGAGAACTGAAGTAGATGTTGAAGGTCCAGTGCAGGAAATAGCACAACCTTTGTATAAAAGGGAGCATTGTTCTTGTAAGAAACAGAATTAACAATACTTAGTTTCTATTAGTATTGTACTATACTCTCAGCTTTTTTCTTTGATCTTATATGCTGTCTTGACAGCATGCTATAAACAGTCTGAAGAAGCAGCCAGTACAGTATGTCTGCATAACGTAGGAGCTTGCATCTTTGACTTCTGTAGCAAATTTGTCTGAAACTACGTAAAATGAGGTAGGGAGGAAGAAGGTACCATGTGTGTCCCAATTTATTTATAAGTGTTATTTCTTTAGGATCTTAAGCTGAGAAAGGACATGTGAAACACAAAAAGTACGTAAGAATTGAAACTAGTTAAGAAAACAGAATATGCTTATGAAGAATAAAGGCTTAAAAGATCTTTGGCTTTTCAGCTCACATGGGTTGATCTCGTCACTAGGTGTCAGCAAGGCAAAGCAGCTGATAAAACAGAGAGCAAGTTTCTTGCTTAATAATGGTAGCAGGCCTTATATTAGACAATTTCAAAGGCATTCTGCTGCCAATAAGAGAGACACTGGGGGAGGAAAAATTTATGAAACTTTGTCCATTATGGGGTTTCTTGTGTATCTAGTGTGGTCACTGTGGAAGTGCCTTCTTTTTTGCTTGAATTGTATGCTGCCATATACTCTGAACATGTGTTTAAGTAATTTATATCACAGAATCACAGAACCACAGAATCA